CATTTCTGTATCTTGCAGGAATCAGCAGCCCTGCAGTCACTAACTAATAATACTTCCTCTCAAAGAATTTGTCTCTTGGTTTTCTGTTTTTATTTTTTTCTTTTCTTTCTTTTTTTTTTGTTTGACATGGATTCTTGCTCTGTTGCCCAGGCTGGAGTGCAATGGCACTATCTTGGCTCACTGCAACCTCTGCCTCCAAGGTTCAAGTGATTCTCCTGCCTCAGCCTCTTGAGTAGCCAGGATTACAGGAGCCCACCACTATGCCCAGCTTTTTGTATTTTTAGTAGAGATGGGGTTTGACCATGTTAGTCAGGCTGGTCACAAACATCTATTGTTTTTTTATTGTGTGTGCTTTACTGAGCTGGAAAGAAATGCTGGATTTTGTATAATATTAGTAGGAAAAAACATTTAGATGCTTTTCTTTTTAGATTAATCTGTAAAGAAATGGGAGATAAGGCCAGGCGGGCGAGGTGGCTCAGTTTTATAATCCCTGCACTTTGGGAGGCCCAGGTGGGTGGGTCACTTGAGGCCAGGAGTTCAAGATTAGCCTGGCCAACATGTTGAAACTCCATCTGTACTGAAAATACAAAAATTAGCCAGCCATGGTGGCAGGCACCTATAATCCCAGTTACTTGGGAGGCTGAGGTGGGAGAATCACTTGAACCCGGGAGGTGAAGATTGCAGCGAACTGAAATTGGGCCACTACACTCCAGCCTGGGCAACAGAGCAAGACTCTGTCTCAAAAAGAAGAAAAAGAAATGGGAGATAAGTTTGAAAACTTGCTCTTTTGACATATATATGTGCTGGTTTAAGCAGAGAAAAATACTGATCAGATTTTCAATTATTGGTATTACTCTTTTTAAAGTGAAGAACTAAAAACTTTTCAAAACAACGGCTAAAACATAGGTTAAAATGACGAATCATTGTTTTGCCTAAGGGTAAACTGGTTCTCAAAGTTGGTTTATTCAAGCCAAGATTTTTTTTTTTTTTTTAAATGGGGTTTCACCATGATGGCCAGGCTGATCTTGAACTCCTGACCTCAGGTAATCCACCCACCTCAGCCTCCTAAAGTGCTAGGATTACAGGCATGAGCCACCACGCCCAGCTCTCAGCCAAGACATTTTAAGGGGATCTTCTCCCTGAAAGTGAAATTGTGAAAGCTTTTATTGGTGAATTACATTTCACTTTTAATTCTGTTGCAATAAGATTGCAACAGAATTAAAGTGTGAGAGCTGTGAAGAGTTTTTATCGACAATAAAACTGTGAACACTAATTCAACTACATAAAATTAAAGTCTATGTAATTTGTTATTTTTCCTCCTTCAAAAAGTTCCTTGAACTATTGTTTTCTTAAGACAATAGAAGAGACAGCATTATGATATATCACATGATGCAAGTCCTTTGACCGTATGTTATTGTTTTAAGCCTGTTAAATTTAAGTTTTAAGCCTGTTAATTTGAAGAATTAAAATCTTTAATTCTTATTTAATTCCGTTAAATAACAGAATTTCTACCAGCAGTTGACTGAAACATTGAAGTGTGCTATCTCTTTAGTAGTATTCTGGTCATCTTGTCTAAGTGATTATATTATAAAATTTCCAAAACAGCAAAAAACCAGTGTCAATTTGTATGCACATTTTTCAGTGGGTTCAGGTTCTCAAAATATGCTGACATAAGAACAGAAATTACTGTACAATATAAATTCAGGTCAGCTTAAGTTTTTGAAATAAGCACATTTAGTGCCGCAAAAATTAAGCATGTGTGGCAAAAATCTGCACTCTCAATCCAGCTGTGACTAAACAAAGAGGCAGAGAACTTTTTTTTGTTGTTGTTGCTGATAACAAGCAATTGAAACGTTTCAAAATTTTATTAATTCACTCATACCGTAAGCGGCCTGAGATGATCTATGAAAATAGTTTGCTATTCACTTGACCCAGAAAACTCCATAAAATCATGTGAACCAAGAGTTTCAAATGTTTGTGTTCATTTTAAGAACACTCATGAGTCCATGCAGGCCATCAAGGGTATGCATAAACAAAAAGCCACTAAATATGTCACTTTATAGGAACAGTGTTCACTATTCTGATGTCACAAGGGTGGAGTTGATAGGTATGCCCAGGTCAAACAGTGGGGCTGGACACAGGGTAAGTGGTCCAGAAAGAGTGCTGAATTTTTGCTGCATGTGTTTAAAAATGCAGAGTTATGCTGAGTGAACTTAAGGATTTAGACAGAGAGTCTCTGGTCATTGAGCATATCCAGGTGAACAAAGCACTTAGGACACACGGCTAGACTTACAGAGCTCATGGTCTGATTAAATTCATACATTAACTCCCCTGCCTCACTGAGATGATCATTATGGAAAAGAAACAAATTGTTGCTAAACTAGAAGAGGGGGATCCACTGAAGAAAAAGATGTCCCAGAAGAAACTGAAGAAACAAAAACTTATATGATAATAACAAAATAAAATACATGCAAACAAAAGCTTTTTTTTAAAAAAAAATAGAAATCTTTATTCTTTTTTTTTTTGTTTTTTTTTGAGACAGTTTCACTCTGCTTCTCAGGCTTGAGTGCATTGATACAATCTTGGGTCACTGCAACCTCTGTCTCCCAGGTTCAAGTGGTTCTCATGCCTCAACCTTCCAAGTAGCTGGGATTACAGGAATGCACCACCACACATGGCTAATTTCTGTACTTTTATTAGAGACGGGGTTTCTCCATGTTGGCCAGGCTGGTCTCTAACTCTTGACCTCAAGTGATCTGCCTGCCTCTGCCTCCCAAAGCACTGGGATTACAGGCTTGAGCCACCATGGCGGTTGAAATCTTAATTCATTCAACGTTGTCTCTGCTGGCATTTTTCTTTTCTTTCTTTCTTTTTTTTTTTTTTTTTGAGACGGAGTTTCGCTCTCGTTACCCAGGCTGGAGTGCAATGGTATGATCTTGGCTCACCGCAACCTCTGCCTCCTGGGTTCAAGCAATTCTCCTGCCTCAGCCTCCCGAGTAGCTGGGACTACAGACATGAGCCATCATCCCCAGCTAATTTTTGTATTTTTAGTAGAGACGGGGTTTCACCATGTTGACCAGGATGGTCTCTATCTCCTGACCTCGTGATCTACCCGCCCCGGCCTCCCAAAGTGCTGAAATTATAGGCATGAGCCACCTCTGCTGGCATTTTTCTAAGTGCTTGGCATAATTAGTGAATGAAGCAGATAGAATCCTGGTTTGTTTATAGACTACACATTTTCAAGTTAAAACCCTTCAAAGTTAAAGAATTTTATCTTAACCATGGGCTGCTTTAGACACTATTAGAGACCTTGCGAAGACTGTTTCTTTTCTCTCCTATTAGAGAAGACTTTCTGGAAACAGTCAAGAAACATCGATTTAGATGTTCTGTAATTACTCTAAGAACCTAGGTAGCTAATCCAGAATCAGAAGGGTTTTAGGAGGAGAGTGAAAGAAGTCAGTTGATAGAACTGGGTGACCTTCAGGGATATCTGTGGGACAGATCCATCTGGGGGCACTTCCTGTTCCCACGACAGAAGGATGTACTCCTGTGACAGAAAGTTTCTGTTCTCAGAGCCTGGCCTTTCTCACTGGACAGTGGTGGATCCACACGGGATATTCTTGCTCTTGAGGTCCCTGTTCAGTGCTCCATGCAGCCCGTCACCCCACCATGTAGAAGAGCTCAGAACAGGTTGATTCAGTTTCACTCTCTTTACTTATACTCACATTGCATTTCTTTCTCCATGAGACTGTATCTATTCTTACCAGTGCAGTACAAGTGTTCCCTAGGCTCGTCAATGTCATATTTATATACACAATTTTGAGTAATTTTATAAGTTCTAAAAATGTTCCTACTCTGTGTGTGCCTATTTTTTATTTCAACTGGAGAAAAATATATCTTTTAATTTTTGTTCTTATTGTCAATTATATGAAAGTATAGATGGTTTGTTTTATTTATTATGTTTTCAGGTAACGTTTTAGGTCCTGGGGATAAAGTTACAAAAAAATGACAATAAATGGAAAGTAGAGAGAAAAGAGAGGACCCATCCCCACAGCATCAATTTTGTTTCTTTTTCAGTCTCTCACAGAAAAAAAGCCTCCTGGTGGTTTCCTATGAATTTTTTTCTGAAAATATCCTGGATGAGGGCTCAAGCTGCCTAGAGCCTCCATTTATTTCAGCTTAGTGGTGGTTACTCTCCTAATTGCCTACAAATGGGTCCTCAGTTGCCACTGTAGTCTTTTTAGGTCCCAACTTTAGTAAAGAGGAATTTCTCTTTACTGCTGAGGAATTCCTCTCAATTCCTCTTTCCAATAGACCTGCGTCCTACTTCAGGCTGTATCTCTTAACTTTCCTACATGCTGGTCCCTAGGACCAGGATCTTGATTGCATTTGCCAGTCCCCCCTCACCCCCCTACCCCCGGATACTTTATTTCTACCCTGGCCCAAGGTCAGGTCTCTGCTGTTTTAGGAAGAGATCTTCTTGAGGATGGACTGCTTGTCTGACCTCTAGCACTGTCCACCCTGGAGTCCTTGAGGTAGTGCTTTTCCCAGCCCCCGGATCTGTCTGGGAAGTCTAGTGCTTGCTTTTGTTAAGTAGGATACCTCATAAATTCATTTAGTTCTGGCTTTGTGGGCTACATGGCCACCATCTTTAACTAGGTGGCATGGTAGGTCTCAATTTCTCTCTCTTTACCTCAGCTTTCCTAGGAAGAATCTTTATTCCCAATCATTTACCTCCTGATTTTTCATAGATGGGGACTTTGGCCCCCTAATACTCCTATATGTAACTGCCTCTAAAGAATATTGTGGGTGCTTCCCTGGCGTTCATTGCAAATGAGATATTTTACTACAGATATCATTAACTCAAAAACCCCTTTATTGGGTTAATTTTAAACAAAAACTTTTAAGAAAATTGAAATAAACAAATATGTAATTCAGGTTAGACAATTTGGTTTTGAGAGTAATCAGCATTATGTAAGAAAAAATCTGCAGATCCCAAGTAGCTGGATTAAACTTGTTTAATGATTCTTATAAAATTGCCATGAGTAAGTAATTGAAAAATAAAACTTCAAAAAGAAACTGGCAGCAGAGCACAATTACAGTCACATTGCTTAACAACAGGGACATGTTCTGAGAAACGTGCCCTCAGGTGATTTCATCATTGAGCAAACATCACAGAGTGTACTTACATAAACCTAGATGGTATAGCCCACTACACACCTAGGATTGATGGTATAGTCTGTTGCTCCTAGGCTGCAGACCTGTACAGCATGTTACTGTACTGAATACTGAAGGCAACTGTCACACAATGGTAAGTATCTGTGTATGTAAACATAGAAAAGGCATAGCAAAAATATTGTATTATAATCTTATCATCACATATGTGCATTGAACTGGTTTTGTGCAGCATGTGACTATAATTTCGAGTGAGATTTATATTGGAAATTTCTGTATGCTTGCTATGATTTGAATATATCCCTCCAAAATTCATGCTGAAAGTTAACCTCCAATATTAAGAGGTAGGGCCTTTAGGAGGTGATTAGATTATAAAAGCTCCTCCCTCATGAATGGGATTTAAGGTCCTTATAAAAGAAGCTTCACACAGCATTCAGCTGCTTCTTGCTATTCTGCTGTTTCTCCATGTGAGAATAGTGTTGGCCCCTTCTGCCATGTGAAGACACAGCAATGAGGTACCACCTTGAAACTACACAGCATCCCTCACCAGACACCGAATCTGCTTGCAGATATATCTTGGACTTCCCAGCCTCCAGAACTGTAGAGAAATAAATTTCTATTCTTTATAAATTACCCAGTCTTGGTGTTTTGTTATAGCAGCACAAATGAACCAATATTTCAAGCAAACTGCTCTTATTGATTCTGGAGTATATATAACTTACAAAGTATGAAACTATTTTCCCATTTTTTGAAGACTGAGGTCAGGATTCAGTTGATGTCATAGATGAAGACTGCTTGGCTATTTGTTGGGTTTACTTCAACCTCATGTCCTACATAAAAAATTTATATAAAATCAGGGTAAAGGCATTAAAAGTGGAAATATTTTGTTAAAGTCTTGTTCACAACTTCTTGAATTTGATAACACCATTTAAGTCAGGGTGATGACTTTTCATGATCACTGAAAGAATGAATAGAAGCTCTCAATGAGAGAAAGATAAATAATTTCAGTGTCATGTATAAAATGCAACAAGACAAAAATGAAAAAGAGCCGTTCAATCTTTTTCTTTCTCTTCTCTTCCTTGGGAAAAGAAGGCTAGGAAAAGAGCCTGAGCTAGGAGTCAGAAGAGCCAACTCTCATCTTGGAAAACATTTATTCAAATTATTATCTTAACTACTTAACTTTTCCTTTCTACTTAGAAATCACTATGCTTGCCTTGAAATTTACTGTAAGAAGCAGATAAGTCAGGAATATGAATGTGCTTTGCGAACAATAAAGTCACAGATGCACACAGGACATTTATACAGGGGAGCAGAACATGAGCGAGTCCAGGCTTAGATTTTGTCCCTGTAACCTTGGCAGCCATGCAGACCTCTTTGAATCTCTGGTTTCCCACCCCTAAATGAACTTGTTCTGAGTTGTTAAGTCTTTCAAAATCTAGACCCTTCCCTAATTTCTAGATTTCTCCATAGCTTCATATAACAGAATTTTTCCTAGGAATTTTTAATTTAATCTATTCGATTAATAAGATCATTGAAATGTGTACAGATTTTAAGTATCATGATTTTATTCCCACTAAAACAAAAAATTATTTTCTATGATGAATATGCATACAGTAAACATGATGAGAAATCATCTTTGGTACTTGTCTGTAGAACCCCTCATCCCCAATTTTTGTTTTTAATTTGTAAAGCACATTTTTTTTGTAGGAACATATTTTCAGGGTAAGATGAAGAATTCATAGTTGTAAGTTCTGATAATATGTACTTGCTACTTAAGAAAAACATGCAGAATTTAAAGCAAATAGTACTATAATAAAAAATCTGATTTTCCTGAAAATGATTTAATTTTATGATGTAAATGCAAATCTTAAAAGTGAAAACTTTTTTCAAAGAAGACTTTTATCAGACTCAATTAGCAGTTAAATGGGTACAAAGAGGATGTCACTGTATGAGAAGCCATATAGAGTTTAGTGTGGCCAGGAGCAGGAAGTCAGGAAGGTTTGGCTTCAATTCTACTATTTAGAGATATTTTGGAAGAGGCCAGAGTGAACTGTGTACATATTTGAATTTAGATTTCGTAAGATACTCAGCTTTACTGAAATTCACTGAAGAAAAGGAGGGAAAGAAAAATGTTTTCATTGTATACAAATGCCACACACAGTTGTTTTTATGCCTACTTTATATGATAGCTGCTAACAGCTGAAGGAGATTTCAGTATCAAGTAGTTGTTTATCACAAATGTGCCTAAAAAGAATTTTAAAGATCTTTGTAGGGAAGCAGAAACTCTTTGAAGTCCAGATGTTTTCTCAGGATAACTAAACCTGGTAAAATCACCTATGTAGTAGTAAATAATATTTTATGGCCACATCTGCAAAATGAAATATGATCTTCATTGTCTATATAAAAACAAATGAAAGTTATGGGTAATTTTTGATAAAGTGAATTATACAAAGCATCATTTATATTTTATATTTGGCTTTGGGACATAAGGCAATATGTAGAACTTATATGACACACACACACACACACACAGACACACACATATACACACACACACACGCACACATAAACTCAAGTATTCTTCTCTGCCTCATTCTTATTCCTTTTTGAGATCAACCCTCTGTATCAGTAATCCTCTGCTGAACTAAAATAATATTTTTGCTCCAAAAGTCTGCTAGGGAAAACATCTATTAATATATGTTTTTAAATCAAATATTTCCAGAAATGCTTACAAGTCCCTTTAAACCTAGCAATGATAGAATAAAGGGTATATTGTTGGGAAGAAAATGCCCACCTAAAGTAGAAATTTACCAGTAAAAAATCACAAAACATCAAAAAATACTTTCAAGGATTATTTCTATTTACCTAACAGGCTTTTCAATTTAAGAATTATAAAATATTTAAAAAGAGAAAAACAGAACATTCAAATAATCTTAGATTTTCAATTTTACAATTAAGGGTTTGGACTAGATGCTAATTTATTTTTCTCAACTCTAATTTGTCAACATAAAAAGGTGTTAAAATGTGTCCCATTGGTTCATTCAACTGTTAATAGAAAAAAGTGGCTTAAAATTGTGAAGCCTGAAAGTATAGCCGTTCTAATTTACAGATAACAAAGGCAAGTCCTAGGAAGAAAAAAGTGACCACTCAAGGGTATCCATCCATTCAGAGATCAATCAGTGTCACTCTTTTCCAATCTATCTGATCATCAATATTTTGCTTCTTTGTTTTATTAAAGGCTCCAGAGTCCCAGTCCCTATCCCTAGAAATTTTGCTTTAGTAATTACAGGGTGAGATCAGAAATTTCATTTCTTTAAGGAGATCCTCAATATTTGAAGGAAGCACAGATCATGCCATCCTACTTGGGGTACCGTGATGGAGGAACAGATTTCTTGCACAGTCCTTGGGCAGGCTCTTCATTGTCACACAACAGCATTTTCCTAACAGGTCCATCATTTTATGACCCAGGGTTCCACTTTTCTGGTGTTTTCTCCCCTCTAGCTGGAAAGCATATTATGAAAGTGATATTACTTGGTGACTAGTTTACTTTTCTTTGATAGCTTCCTATGGAAAAAGATCTTCCTGAAGGAAATAAGAATCAAAAGAGTAGATTTATAGACCTTAGTTAAGATCTGATCCAAATCATTCTATAAGTTTAATTCCACTTAATTCCTGAAACTGTAAAGTATGAATCTAAACATCATCATGCTACCATCTTAAGCCTTTCAAGGACATCTACAATTTGAAAATTATTTTCTTTACCTCAGGTCATGGTGTACAATGAAGTAAATTTCTTTAAATGGTTCCAATATAAAGGAGATGGCTCTTGGAATACGTTTGGCATAAGAATTTTCTTAGTAGAAGAAAAGCTTAAGTAGAATTAATAACTAATAAAATAACATAATTGGTTTTATATAGAGATAGTAGAGAGCAAATTTCCTTCTAAAATCTTCCATTTAGAATTCCAAGCCCCTTAACATTCATATTTCTGTCAGTTTTCAATATAGATTGTATGTGTTCATTGTATGCAAACTATAGCCAAAATATGCATTTCTATTCCTGGTGCTACTGTGGGTGTCAAGGTTTAGTTTAAACCTTTTGTTTTTGTAGCACACTATAAGAAGTATAATTCAGCTCTCAATGAAATATTATTCCTGATCTTCCTTGTTAGTAAAATAGTAAATTAGTTTGTTATCTATTAATTTTAAGAAAAAGGTTAGAAAAGGAAAAATAATAATACATGACTTACCTCTAAGTATGTATGACTCCATGTAAAGCAGCTAAACTAAAAGCTTACCACAATTTTAAGAAAAACTAAAATTCAACATCATTTAATTTCTTTTTGCATTCCATTTAGGAAATGTTTGTTACTGAGGCTGATAAAATAAATTCATTATTTAGTCATGTCATTTATAATGTGGTCTCATGATACTGGCTCTGAGGATTAAATATGCAGTTAAAGACATACTAGACTACCAAATAATATATAAAACATTTATGAACATTTTATGCTTGCTTTAGACAACTGATCTATTAAACGTGTGACATTTTTATTTAAAAAGAATAAACAAGGAAATCAATGGTATTATTTTATCCTTAAATGGGTTAAGAAATTATTTATGATTTATCTTTAGAAATCTACCAATAAATGTGTTCTTGTTTTTCAGTGTAGCTGGGGGCCAAGGAAGTGGTTAATTAATATCTGTACTGCAAATGCCTTAAGTGGATACCTATTAAAAGGTATACAAAATATAAACAGCATTGTATATTTTCAAAACTTTTAAATAAACACAAAGAATATATAGGTATACATGTTATAATTTCAAAGTCAACAGTAGCACATAAGTTTTTCATATCTAAATACATACTAGGATACTTCCTATTTCAACACATGCACCTACAAACACGGGGCCATGCAAATAACCTTGCTTTCTGCCACTTGCAAGAAAGAATATACAATATTATACATTGTTTCAACTTATATCATATTGGAAAATTAATGAGAATGGCATAAAAAAATTCTGATCTAAGAAATCAAAATACAGGAAGATAATTATTCCTTAGATTAAAAACACTGAAGACTGATGGAAAGTTAGGGTTTAAATTGCTTGTCAGAAGAGAACAGGACTGCCTATAAACACTCAGAATGCTCTGTTTGACAAGTGGGACTAGAACCTCTGTAACACAGCAATCCAGGCCAAAGACTTAAACCATCGGTGCTTCGGATCGCAGAGAAATGGTATAGTTGTGGGTAGTTCTCCGCAAGGCAGGGGGTGCAGATGGAGATCTGGATGCCCATCTGGAGGGGAGACGGCGATTTGCTGGTCTAGCAGGTCGGGAAAATCCTTTTCCATGTGAGGCGTTCACTGACATGGATTCCTAGGACACAAGTAAAGACATTCCTCTCACTCTCTGGGCACCAACAACGGGCTTAATATATGAAGGGTCTCAACTATAAGATGAATCTGTTAGTAAATTTACAAGAAAGAAAAAGCATTGAAAACTAAATAAGATACTTGCCTAATATTTCTGGTTTTGAATGTTTTAAGGCAATTTAATTTTAATATAGAATATGGCACTTGATAGTTTTGTACCTTTCCTCACACTGACAAATTTTGATTCAGTTAATCTCTTTGTAGAACTAATGATAAGCTCAGAATTTAAAAGTTCAAGTTAAATAAATTGAATATCATGGAAATACAGATGTTTCTTAGTGGCCTATTAGGATGTTATAGTGTTATTTAAAAATAAAAAGATAAATTATAGAAGAAACTGTTCATTTATGTCAAGTTATTGACACTTTTAGAGGTAATAAGCTAAAGGCACACAAACCAAATGATCAGTGCTTTTTTTTTTTTCACCATCACTGGCACTATCTAACCTTAAAATGATCATTAAAATACTTTTAAATACATCTTCATTCTAATACTAATACAGAACTGCTGTATCTTGGACATGTTCTGATGACAGAAAACCGTTTCCTTCACTTTTTTTCTCTTTTTAAAATTTCCTTTTATTTTAATGGAAGAAAAGCATTCCTTGGTTCTTAAAATTAAAACAAGTACAAAGCTTCCATAACACACTTTATACACTGTGTTCTTACTGACCCTTCTTAGACCCAAAGAAGCCTGTGCTCTTTCATCTGAGCTAGGCAGTGAGGATGGCCTCCTATTTATATTTTAGCCATGGCCTGACAGTAACCTGCAGTTTTTTTCTTTTTGGAGACCTATTGTTTAGATTTGTTCACAAGGGGAAAAAACAAAAAACAGAAACTACTCTTAAAGAGCTATGGCAGAGGACCTCCTCACCAAACTCCCAGTGAATGCAAAAAGGGAAATCACTTAGTATTATCTCTTGCTAGTTAATGATAATTTTGGTAGCTTATTGCACAGATATTTCTGTTTCCTATCTTTAGCTACAGGATGTTGCAGACATTGATGGGCTCAACTAAAAAGCAGAGAAATACAAAAGCAGGATACGTTTTGCACCTTATGGAAACAGGCAAGATTTCTCCTAAGATGGATGAAAGCTGATATTTTTGCAGACTTTCAAATCCACATAACTGTTTACACCAGAAGGAAACAACTTGCATAATAGTTTAAAATTCATGCTGCATACCCACTGCATTCTATGAAACTAGGAGTTTTGAAGCATTGATTAATAATAACAATATGTTGCCTTGTAACTTTTTGTTATGTTCCTAAAAATTATATGAATAAAAGAGAACTGTTGTATAACTCTTCTTTGTAACTACCAATTTCTTTGACCTCTTTTTCTCCTATAATAACTAAGGAATGGGCTGGGCGGGGTGGCTCATGCCTGTAATCCCAGCACTTTGGGAGGCCGAGGCGGGTGGATCACGAGGTCAAGAGATTGAGACCATCCTGGTCAACATGGGGAAACCCCGTCTCTACTAAAAATACAAAAAATTAGCTGGGCATGGTGGCGCGTGCCTGTAATCCGAGCTACTCAGAAGGCTGAGGCAGGAGAATTGCCTGAACCCAGGAGGCGGAGGTTGCAGTGAGCCGAGATCGTGCCATTGCACTCCAGCCTGGGTAGGCTAACAAGAGCAAAACTCCGTCTCAAAAAAAAAAAATAATAATAAATAAGGAAGATTATGTTCTTTCATAAATCGGCAGGAACAAAAAAGATAAGAGTTTACTTAAATGCCCATTTGAATGGGTTTTTTTTTTTTTTTTTTTTTTTTTTTTGGTCCATTTCTATGCTAAGAATACATACAAATAAAAATAACCTTATTTATATATACTATCTTTTAGTTCCACAGATAAGAGGACTCTGTTAGGCACTGTTTTAAATGATGTGTATTTCCCATATTCATATTAATGTGACTAATCCTATGAGAAAGAACATAAGTCAAATGCTGAGAATGACTGAACTAATCATAGTTAATAACTGAAAAGTGAAAACGATTTTTAAAATATTTTCCATACATTTAAAAGAACTTTTAAAAAAATGAAATTCTGTAAATCAAACATCCATTCTGAATATTTTTTCAAGAAAGAAAAACATTTGATCTTCTTGAGCTTCCTAAATCCACTTATTGTATTTATGGTTTCCTACTTCAAGATTTTTAATCTTTTTTTTTTTTTTTTTTTTTTTTTTTTTTTTAGGCTCTGTCCCAGGCTGGAGTGCAGTGGTGCGATCTCAGCTCACTGCAACCTCTGACTCCCTGGGATTCGAGTGATTCTCCTGTCTCAGCCTCCTGAGTAGCTGGGATTACAGGCATGAGCCACCATGCCCAGCTAATTTTTGTATTTTTAGTAAAGACGGGATTTCAACATGTTGGCCAGGATGATCTCCACTTCCGGACCTCGTGATCCGTCCACCTTGGCCTCCCAAAGTGCTGGGATTCCAGGCGTGAACCACTGTGCCCGTCCCAGAATCTTTAAAAAGTTATAATGTACTATTCTCAGTCTTGAAAACACCTTCAAGGTTCATGTTGAGTTATATTTATTTACAAACAGGGTCAAGAGACTAAGAAGGGTCCAAAACTTGTGCCCTCATTCTGTTTATATGAATGGGACATATAAACTGCATTCAGAGCCATTTCTAATATGGATGCTACCAAAATGCCTTATTTGCTTTCTCACCTCTGTTATCTTTTTCCGATCTATTCCTTGCTTCACTTCCTGTCCCCCCCACACAGCTGTCTTTTGCTGAAACTTGTGTTCCATTTGGAGCATTTCTAAATGCTGACTTAATGTGGCACCACCACTGACATCAGAATTACATTTGGTCCCATTATCCCGGAAGCACTTAGAATTTTCCAATGCAGACTCTGTTGCTGTTTCATAAGTTTTCAGCAGCTTTTCCACAACACCATAATTTGACCTGGGATCAGCTGACCTCGGGCGGCCAGACAAATTACTTGGTCTCCAGTCATGCTCGTGGAGCATATTCCGATAACTGCGAGGACTTACGTGTCCCTGCGTTTGTCTGACTAGGTCTGTTGTGTATTTCTTGGTGGGATTATCAGGCACATTTTCCATGGGCACAGGCATGTGGGCACTGGTTTTCCAAATACCAGACACCTTGTTACTTTCTGATATGCTACCTGTGTGAGTAGATGAGGTATCACAGGGCTTGGGATCCTCCGATGATTTGGAGCAGCTTTGATTTTGCTGTATTGCCTGACAATTTCTATCCGTTCTAAATACAGTCCTGTTAAATTCATCAGTCTTTGCTGCCAGCTTTTCATTCCTTATAGTCCTTTCAAAGCCACAACTGAAATTTCTAAGTGGGTTACTGCTCTCTGCCACTGAAGAGCTACAGTCATTACTTACATGAAGATCGGGATGAGATTTAGCAGGGTGATCTGGGATCACCATTTCATATTTTGGATTATTGGGGGTAGAGCAGGTTTTCTGAAACCACAAAGTAGAGGGGCTCCTTTTTGCACCTATCCCAATGTCACATGACCACATGCTAAGCCCAACATCTTCATTACTTGGAGGCTTGCTATCTATTTTGACTTCTGGTACCAAAGAGGAAAAGATGATACCATCTTTCAAAGTTTTCCCTTCATTTGGATACAACATAGACATCTCATGCTGTCTCAAAGGGAAGTGAGGGTTGTAATTCCTTTCACTTTGACCCTCATGGGGCACCCAGCTGTTGTGGTCTAACCTTTCCTTCCATCTTTCATAGGCTTGTTGAGAATCCGAGCTGGGAAAATTTCGAGAGGTACTTCTTGGAGGAGGAACTGGTGGAGTTTCATTTCTTTTCAAATCGATTGTATCAGTTTCACATTTTTTCATAGAATTGCTCTGGAGCACATTGGTACAGCTCAGATTCTTTCTATTTTTCTGTTTTTCTTTCTCTAAACTGACTGGAAGAATGCACTGGTCATTGTTGATCATGGGGTCCCCATGACGTATATTAGTTACATTTGGCATTTCCTGGAGAAAAGAATCTGACTTCATCCTAAACAATGATAAAACATGGTGTATTAGTTATTTCTTTATTTTGAATAAGCTCTCAAAAGAAACCATAGCTCAAGCAATGAGTTTCTGCTATAGGAAAAGGAGTCATAACTCTCTCATGCATCATTTTTATATAAACCTTGCAGCCAAAAACTTCAAGTCCTTTTATGGTAGAATGAAGTCAACCTCTCAGTATTATATTCAATGTTCTACATACTCTGACTCAAACTCTTTCCAAACTCGTCTCCCATTTTCGCTGCTAGCTGAGACTTCACCTACCCTCAGATTAAACTATGGAGTCTCCTGGGTTTCTGTTACTGGCATTTCCCTTTTTGTAGCTTTCATCTGGCCATTCCCTTACTTCCTCTCTGCCTGCTGAATTCTTATTCATTATGTAGTGTGAGCTCAAGTTCTTCTCCTTGAATTTGAAATAACATTTTAAATAGTAAGATAGAATTCTAAATAAAAGTGCAATGAGGCATGAGTAATTCCCAATGGAAGGTGTTATTTGGCCTTGAAAAAAAAGGAAAAATTTTTTGGATGATTTAAGTAAAAGGTATACAGGCAAAGTGAGCTGTGGTTAAAAACTATGGTTATTCAAAGCAAAATGAGTACTTTGATATGGATGAATTATAAAGCAGAGTGGGGAGGATAATGAAAAATAAGAGAGAAACATTAGGTCATGTCAAATTGTAATGTCTTTGAATTACAAATTAAATGTCTTAAACCTTGTTCTAAAGGCCATGCGGTGACAATAAGAACTTTTGATTATGTGTGATTTGTAGAAGAAAATTGGCAAGTAAATTTTCTGGGTTACAGTAAATAAAAATCTAAATATCACAATTCAATCTTAATCACATGGATACAAGTAAATCATATTTATACCTCTTCAAATTATTTTAAAAAATGAGATAACTTACAAGAAAATGTGGGTAAATACCTATTAACAGAGAATAGAAGCAAAACTCAATGGGCAAATAGAGGACAAAGTTATGTTTAAAACATGTTTGGCTAAGAAAATATATTGCAAGTCAGCACAAAAATTCTGAGCTTCCTAACAACTAATGAAAAGGGAATGCATTTGTGTAGCTTTCTAAATGAAGCATACTGCCCCATGAGGAGAGATAAATGTTGGTCTTAGAATAATCTATGTTTACTTAACTTGTAGAGTATTCGAATGTATCTGTTAATTTGGCTAAAACCTACTGTTATAAGTATATATCGGCCGGGCGCGGTGGCTCAAGCCTGTAATCCCAGCACTCTGGGAGGCCGAGGCGGGTGGATCACGAGGTCGAGAGATCAAGACCATCCTGGTCAACATGGTGAAACCCCGTCTCTACTAAAAATACAAAAAACAAGCTGGGCATGGTGGTACGTGCCTGTAATCCCAGCTACTCAGGAGGCTGAGGCAGGAGAATTGCCTGAACCCAGGAGGCGGAGGTTGCGGTGAGCCGAGATCGCGCCATTGCACTCCAGCCTGGGTAACAAGAGCGAAACTCCGTCTCAAAAAAAAAAAAAAAAAAAAAAAGTATATATCATTTCCAAATGGAAAGAGCATTTTTTTGTGTGTGGCATGTGTACATATTTACAATATGCTGTTCTGAAAATTATGTAGGCCTCCAATATAGAAATATTAATTGAAGTGAAATAAAGTAATCTTAAGCCTTAAACATTTCAAAACATGATTATATAATCAAAATGCCACACTGTTAAATCTGACATCATTTAATGATACATTTAACTGAATTAGCTCAAATGCACACTCTCATTGCCCAAATGCTCAGAATGCTAAAGAACTACCTTAGAGGTTACTTACTAATATTTTTTTTGAGACCGAGTTTTGCTCGTATTGCCTAAGCTGGAGTGCAATGGTGTGATCTTGGCTCACTGCAACCTCTGCCTCTCAGGTTCAAGCAATTCTCCTGCTCAGCCTCCTGAGTAGCTGGGATTACAAGCATGTGCCATCACACCAGGCTAATTTTTTGTATTTTTAGTAGAGATGGTGTTTCTCCGTGTTGGTCAGGCTGATCTCGAACTCCTGACCTCAGGTGATCTGTCCGCCTCAGCCTCCCAAAATGCTGGGATTACAGATGTGAGCCACTGCGCCTGGCCCACTTACTAATTTTTTTATGGAGGGTCTACCTTAATTAAACACCAAAAAGAGTAAAGAGTTACTAACAGTCAGATTACAAAAAGAATTGGAAGATTTGCTTTAACAATTAGTGGACAGAGAAATATATAATTATAGTTTCTGGCCTTGTGCAGTGGCTCACACCTGTAATCCCAGCACTTTGGGAGGCTGAGGCAGGGAGATTATTTGAGGTCAGGAGTTCGAGGCCAGGCTGGCCAACATGGTGAAATCCTGCCTCTATTAAAAATATAAATAAATAAATAAATAAATAAATAGCTGGGCATAGTGGCTTGTGCCTGTAGTCCCAGCTACTTGGGAGGCTAAGGCAGAAGAATTGCTTGAACTTGGGAGGCAGTGGGTTCAGCGAGCTGAGATCACACCACTGCACTCCAGCCTGGGTAACAGAGCGAGATTCTATTTCAAAAACAAACAAACAAAAAATTAAAGTTTCTATCTCGCAGCCTAGATAATGCATTTTAATAACTCACTAGTTCTTACATGTAAGGAGGAAGCAGTTTGGATTCATTAAAAACAATATTCTTTTTGATTTACCAATCTAAAATAATCAGATGTATCTGCCTACCTTCTGTGGTTAGACCGCTTTTGAATTTCCTCTTGAAAGCTGCACAGTTCTTCACTAACCTTCACAAGTTCTTCAAGAGCCTTTACACATATAAGCAACAGCACGTTAGCACTTTGAAATGTAAATATTTCTTTAGAAACAGTGCTAGGCCAATCACATCTTACTTACTGTACTGAGGGTGCCAGAACAGCTCTTGTTCTCTTCCTCAGAAGTACTCAGGTCAGGCCAGGCCTCGCATTCTTTTTGGGTGTCTGTAGCCAGAGGATCCAAAAACCCTACTTTTGATTTTTTTGTTGCTTTTTGTTCCTTACACATTTGATTTCCTCCACTGACTAAGCTCTGCTCTGTTTTATTTTCATTTCTCAGACCATCTTTGAGATTCATCCTTGTAAATTCACATTGTCCTACATCAGGGTAATTTGGGGAAGATTCTACTATTTTGTCTGGAATGGTCTTCTCATGGTAAAGATCAATGATCTTAGCACGTTCATTCATATTGATTTTCCTCCGAAGCTTTACTTCCTGGCAAAGCTGTAAGAAAACAAAATTAAAATTTCTTTTCCCCTAATTCACTTTGTTAATTTTCTTGATACTAAGCAAACTGCTTTGAGTTCTCTTTGTCTTATTCAAATATACTACCTGGGTATTAATGCTTTTGCCTCTAAATAGTGCCTCTAAAACATGGATTAGCTGGAACAAGTTTGATGAAACATAAAGGCCACTTTTAGCAGGGCAACACATGGATGCTAAGTCTTTCTGACTAGACATCAACTCATTCAAAAATAAAATAAATCTGTATCTGTATATAAATATGGAAACACTATCACAAAATTAGAATGACCTGAATCAATTATTGGCCATACTACCTAATGTTTTTGGGGTGTAGTGAGAATTTAACAGTAAAGTCATAGTTTTAAAATGTCTGGTCCTACTTGTACACTAACATTTAACTGTCTAAATAAATGCTTGACAATCTCATATAGTAAGTCAACTTATTCTGGTCCCTAAATAGTCACTTGTCCATCAAAGGATGTTTCCTTTGATTGGTCAATTACATTGATGAGGCCTAAATATTACTGAGATTTTTAAAAATTGTCAAGGTAATACACATTTTAAAAAAGTTTCTCATCTAGATTAAAACAAATATGACAATACCCTACATGATATAATAGAACTGCAAGGCTTTGATCATCTATTAGTCTGTATTAAAGTAGACCCCAAATAACTTCTTTATGAGATCTTAGTTAAACCTGAACACACTCATTCAGTTCACTTCTGAATAGAGGAAAGAAGTGGCTTTCTCTTCAGTCTTGAGTCATGTAAAAGCTTGTCAAACTTCAAGAGACTATCAGATGACTATCAAAACAAATGACTCTATATTTAACAGCCACAATCAACATCTACACCACATGTATTATTCAAGTAATATAACAGATTTATTGCTGCTTAATACATACCGATAACTCAGTTGAGAGAAGCAGTAGAAATTGATGCCTGAAAAATATATGTGCATTTATTTTTCTAATGCTTATAAATTTATTAGCATTTATTGTATGAAGTCAGGATAGCATCAAACTGAAGCATCGATTGATTGGACCCTGCCAAATTTTTGTACTGAACTTCTGTGGGCATTATGATTTGGACTGACCTTGAGGGATATTATAAGAAGCAACCCTAAAAAGTGACATGTTAAATTTAAGGATGGTGTTGGTGACACTGTCCTGTTCTTGAGAAGTCATGGGTGAAAACAAAATTGCTTTAGTTGAAAAACCAGAGGGAAAACATGCTATTCCTGGGAAATAAATTTGCCTTATCATTTGAATTTGAAGATACATGCACCTGATAATTTTTGTTAGTTACTAGAAAGACTCACTGGTACATTTCACATACAACCCTTCCTCCTGTCTTCAGCTCACCTTTCCATTTCTGTTTTTGCATATTTTATATTATACTTAATTTTATGCCATCTTAAATTTTCTTGGGGACTTAGGTGAGGTGTGAATAAACAAATAACAGTGTTATTGATGGAAAATGATTTTGTTCAAGGGAATCTAAGTTACTTGGTACTCAGCCCTTGTCAATGGTTATTTGATTATTCTATCAAAGGATACAGGCAGGAGACTACAGTGTGAAAAAATACTCCAGATGTCTATAAATTCTATCCAGAGATTCTATCTGGATTATTCCAAGTTTCAAATAATTCAAGTATGAATATCTTGGTTTTGTCACAGCCAATGCAATGATTGTGGATAGTGGCTGAACAGAGAACTATGAGCATCTGAATAGCCAAGACTATATCCTCTCATTAGATATTATCATCTAAAATCACTGAAGATATATACCTGGGAATTTACAATTCTCCAGTACATGGCTTAAAAATTTACATCTGATTTAACACAGAGAACTTCGTGATAAATGTTAAACAAAAACAGTTATGCTTATGGCATGAGGTTATTTTTCCAAGTGTTGATTTCTTAATTTTAGTTAAAAAAATTATATGGATTCTCTGTGACATGTAAAGAAATGTTTCTCTTGTTTCTTTTTACCCCTAGCTTTGAAGCCCGTAAGAAGGTATGTTTTATAAATGTTTGGCATATATATTAGTAAGGGCAGCACAGTGCTGGTATCCAAGTCTTTATTGAAAAGCATCATCTACAGGCATTAGTAGTAAGTATATTATCTAAACAAATTCCCAGCTATGGAGCTGTATAGTACAGGAAGTAAAATGTAAACAGCACTACAGCTGCTCTCCAAGATGAAAAAAATACGACAGCCCTTCTATCTCCCCGGAAAGGGATGCTATCTCTATGAGGTATAATTTGATGTCTAAAGCATATTTTGTGCCTGCTAATTGATAAGGCTAATATTTACCTTAGATGAATGCTGTAGAATTGTCAGAATAATTATTGGACGGTAATCAGTTTAATCAGACAGCAGCTTCTTTTAACTACATGGCTTTAAAAATTGGCTAGACAAATCCTGCATCCCTTAGTTATTTTGCTTGGATGCTAGAACTGTCTGAGACTGTTATGAACTGAACTTCCCAAACATGTGGGAGACAATGACTTATGACTACAGATCAGTTTCTGTTGAACTGGAGTTTTGGATTCTGATTTGACCGGGGCGTCTCTTTGTTGATACAATCTGAGTATGGGTAGAGGAGTTAAAGGAGCAAGCAGGACACATTTTCCAAACTATAGAGGGACAAGAAGTATATTCTCCTTTAATCCCTCATCATACACTACATGCCTGCCTTCTCAGCTCTATTTTAGAGGAAGGGCTTCATAGCTACTTTTCTTCAGTTTTCTTCCTACTATGCCAATTCATATTTTATTCACAGTCAATTACATGGCTGTTAATAATAAAAACGACTGCACTATGAAAACATAAAGCACTACTTTGCCTGCAAAAGAGGCCAAGAAGTCTTAAAATAACAACTTTGGTAATGCGCACAAAACCATATAAAGTCAATACTATGGATGTTACTAAAAGAAAGCAAGATAAGCATAAATTATTTCCAGTTGGTGCAAAAGCTTGAATATACATCAATGCAAATGCTTGAAGGAAATATTTCAGGGTCAACGGACTGAGGGAGGGTTAATGGGAACAAAATGACTGTGTCAGACTCATGATAAGTTATTTTTCGTAACCTCTTTTCCAATAAATGTGCCAATAAATGTGCATACCTTGATAGAATAAATCTCATGTCCACTGCCATTTTCTGTTTGATATATGATACTCCTTTTGATTATAATGAGTTATCTAAAATGTAATTTCCTTTAATAGACATTATTCATAAATCTTCTTAGGAAGTATCTATGTTCTAATCCCAATTATAATTTTGCTAATCTATGTCCCACCAGGTATATCTTTCTTGCATTTTACTCCAGGCCCTGGTATTTGAAAACTCACACAAAATATATACCTCCCTTTTGATAAAAAGGCTCTCTAGCCAGAAAATAATAAGTTGAAACATTTTGGAGTGACATTTGAAATGCTTAATTTTCATGCAATGATATAAAATAATCCTTACAATGCCACTGAGTAAGATTATGCTACTTTTGTTCTAATAAAACTGAGAAAGGTACCATTTAGGTGGAATTAGGAAAATAAAAAGTTTCCAATAAAAACAGTCATCCTGCACTTAAGCACAAGAGTACATGCACAACAAATTGACTTGTACCTCTTCTATTTTCTTCTGCATAATCTTCCATTGACTTTCCCATTCCTTTCTTTCGTTGTCAAACTGGTCCAGTAATTCCATCTTTTCCTTATGCCAGTTAGTCTCTGTGTTCTCCCACTGCTTATGTAGGTCCATGGCAACAGTGTCAGTGTCGGCGAAGAAGTGTTTCTGCTCCTCTCTGCCTCCTCTTAACCTTTTCTTGGAAGCTTGAAGTTGTTTTATTTGAAGCAGTCTCACTTGCCTTTAAAATAAAGCCTAATATAAACATAACAAGAGAGAGTTCCAAACCCATGTGCTTTCTGGAAATATATTTTATCATTTTGTCGAGCCATTGACATAAACAAACTATAGGAAAATTGAACTCAAAAGAAAAGAGATGACAAGAGTCTACTTAAGAAGAAGAAACTAACACAGTCAATAAAGTAATAAGTATTGTCCAAAGTTTTTTTTCCGTTTCTGAGACCAGACAGCAAAATTATAGTGGACAAGATAATTAAATGCACATGTGAGACAATCATTCCTTTAACCACTTATTCTAAAAATAGATTTTTTCACGAATATCTAAGAGTAGACGTATACAATTCAAATGTATGGTCACATCCACACACTGTGGCAGATTCTGCTGCAATAAAATTATTTTTTGGTTCTGATACAACCTGATTATATATTCTTATGACTTAAATTCCTGAGCCAGAGCTGGGTTGCAATCTTAATTCTGCATCCAGAGATCAAGCCTGTGCCAAATGCCATTACTGTGTTACTTATTAAGACTCCAAAGTTGGTAGTCGACTTGGGACTGATGTACCATCCAGAAACTAACCTAAACTATATTTAAAAATTCATTATGTCACTTTATAAAGGAAAATCTAGAAGCATCAAAACTATACTGTAAAATATATGTTAAAATTTATCCATGCTCTCTTTTCCTTTGAATAGACTATACACCTAACATAAACTGCTTAGGAAATTGAATACAGAGAACTGAAGAAAACAGGTAGCTCAGTTTTTAGGGACTCCTCTGTTACATTAACAACTAGTGACTAAAATAATGAAATTTCTAGCATTCAGGGTATGCATATTTAAGATTTGAAGTCACAATTTAAAATACCAGCTATGTAACCCTGGTATAAGTCTAAAATTTCTGAGATTTAGATTTTTACATTAAAATAGGAATAGTCATAGGGCTGTTAAAAAAGATTAAATGGCATACTGAATCCAAAGTAGTCTGAGAAATTTAAGAAAGTTTTCTATTTTGGGCTTTACAAAATTTTGTTTTGACTTCAATTAAAAATAATTTTGTATTAATAAAGTCATGTGCCTTTTTAGGAGGTAGAATGTTTAAAACGTTTGAATCTCTGTGTAAGATAATTATGCCTACAAGATGTCTAACTCTGAATTCAGTCACTAGGCCATTACCAAATTGCTATGACTTACTGGTGGCAGCTTATGCTAATTACAGACAAAGATCCCAATAGTCAGTAACTTTGTGGGTACTGGCATTGCCAAATTAAGCCCACATACCCAAGCAGCAAGTGCCAATTTTGTATTCACAGAAGATAATGGCATATTTCATATCCTAAATATAAGATAAATATCGAAGGCTAATTTTATTTTTGTCAGACTGTTCTGAACATACATATCTGAGTGGTAAACAGTTTTGAACACATATTTTTTTGAGTCACAGTCAATGAATTAGAATAGAATAAGAATGAAAAACATTAGCTATATATGCAGGGTTCTACCTTCAAAAACACCCTAATAATTTTGGAATCTATATTGCAACTCTACTTTCAAACTTTATTTGCTAAAGACACTTTGATAATTTTTTCCTATGTCTTTGGCACTAACAGTATCATGATTAATTCAGTCAAGAAAAATATATAATTTCAGATCCATTAAAGGTGCTATCATGTCTCATTTTATCTACTTAGCCATGCTCAATTTCTAACCTCATTTTTCCACCCCCTCTATTACCCTTTCTGCTCTCTTTCCCACTTATAAGCCAGTAACCTCAAGTACTTGCCATAATAAATGTCAATGAAGAGCAAACAAAATGAAGATAGCAAAGAACATAGTTTTTTGTTGTTGTTGTTGTTTGTTTTAACTAATCTAATTTCCATTGATGTTGATTACCTAGTAATCTTTTAGGTTCATCTAACAATCTTTCATAGGAAATGCAGATAATGTTTGTCCTGAAACTAGCAGACTGCTTTAAAACTGTATGTAATTAACTGTGTGGTGAAACTATCCTGCTGACTAGAAAGTATTTGCCACTGGAATTTCTTAGGAAGAATGGTGTGGTTTGAGATAATAAGAGATAACTGCAGATTTAACCAAAGAAGCTAAAAAAAGATGAGGACTAATTTCAAACTACCTGGAAAAAAGGAGCTATGATATGTCATGTTTTATCCCAACTGTCTTTAAACACTGGAAATGTTCAGAACTCACAATAAAGTCTTTTCTACAATTATGTAGCAAACGGCTCCAATTTTTCTTTCTATTCCTAACTCTTTTTGAACCGCTTCCACATGACTGTTGAAAGATGCCAGACCTTTCTCTTTTTAACCTATCAGAAGATCATCCAGGAATACTCTGAATAAGTCTTGCCCCTGGTAAAAGGACTATATTTAAACCCAGGTAACAGTCCTGAAGCAGACTGAATCCTGCACCTATTTGCAAAGAGCCAAATTCATCACTTAATATGGAGAAGAGACAATCTATGGAGCTTTTCCTTTCCAGGCCCAGAGCAATTGCTAGTGCCAAAAAATATAATAGTTATGGATCAAAAACAAGCATTTGCAAGAACATTTCTATAGAGAAATATCTGTGCCAATTTTTTTGTGGAATGATTTAGCCTTATTAGAATCTTAGTCTTGTCATAAATATAATGTTAGATGTAATGCAGCCAAACATATTGCTTCCACCTCTAAATATAAAGGGGGGGCGGGGCATAGAATTGTTTTGGACATTAAATGAGCAAAAGGGAAGATGCCTAAGAGAAGTGCTTAAACACTGCTCTGGATTATAGCAAATGCCTAATAATATTTGCTTCTTGTTTTCTTCCTTCCGTCCCTTGTTCCCTCCCTCCCTCTTCTTGTCTTCCCTCCTTCCCTTTCTCTTCTCTTTTATCTATCCCTCTCCCTGTTGTTATCTAGAAAAAAACCCTGATTATTTTGATCTTTATTTTAAAATGAGATAGAAGCAAGTGTAACTGTGTGAACGCTCACCTTCTCCATGATCATCTTTTGCCTTTTTTAAGTATTTTAAGGATACATGTCAAATTAAGTATTTAAAGAAAAGAAGTTTTATTGTTAGTAAAAAGTTGAACAAATCTTATGTAAAACTGCTTTTGTTATAAATATGACTTAAATATTACATAACAAACTAAAGGGGCAACTTTGTAGAGACATAATGTTTCGTAATGAGAAGTTATGGGGTAAAGTGGATCAGCAGATTCAAAACCTGATTTAAGTGCTCTCTACTGGGGCAAAAATAAAAGTTCTGTTTGTTCTTAGTTGTCACTCATTTTCTCCCACAGATACTGGCATCTATGTGGGAGAGAAGAAAGGATTTCTGCTATCTGTGCCCCCTACCCCATATCTCTTTGACTCTCCAGCTTATGTTTGTCCTTCTAGAATTCCATTCAGAATAAAAATTTATTAGAGCAAATGTAAAAGGACAGAGTGAGCTGCGTTACTTAGTTACACACCCCAACTCTAGACCAGCATTGCATAATCCTTTTTAACTTACTTCCCCTTTCCAAGGGCTGAAAGCCAGAATTATAAAGAGTTGTGAGTGGGTTGTGTAAGTATGGTGATGGGAGGCAAATAGTTCTGCTAGCCTTCCGGGCCTACCACTAAGCAAACTTTAAGAGTAACACACAAGTCTCACAAGAAATTATTTTTATCCCCCAAATTAGCCTCAGTTTGGTCATGACAGCAGTTCTTTCTCTGAGAGGGGCTCCATTCTTAGGACACCTTGGTCATTACCCTTTCAACCTCCATCTTGCCCATTGAAAATTGGATTATAGCCAAACAAACTCGACAGCGTTCCTTAGGGGTGACTGCTCCATTTCTACTTCTCTCTTTTTAGATTATTGTTTAGAGTACTTGTTTCTTGCTGTCCTTTTTTCCTTTTGCTAAACATACCACTTTTCATGTAATTAAAGACTATTCATTTATAAGAGGTTACATATTCCTATAGAAATGCCATACATAATAGGTGCTGCTAATCTCACAATTCCTAGAAGACTCATTTGGCCTGAAGATGCTTTGCTTCTGATTAACTTTGAGGGATTAGGAATTTCCAGGCCTATAACGTATCAGAGTAATGTACCATTTATCCCCTAAATTATTTATCCCTTTCTCCAGGCTATAATGAATCACTTGAGTTATTTCAACTAATAGATCTCATTCCTCTCTGTTTTTTACTTGCAACTGAATCTTTCAAAAGACCACCATGATTTGATTTTATTACAAAGTAAAAGGGAAATTTTTTTCATTGCACTTTATTGCTATTTCCACACATTCCTCATGCTCCAACAAGGTCAAAGAGACACTACCACATGCAATTCCAAATGAATCAACTTTATTGTCTCATTTAATTATCTTCTTCCTTGTTTTCTTTACTCAAATTAGAAAACATCCAAGCTGTAAGCATACTGATTTTACTTAACTTAAAAAATGCAAACTTTAAAAGCAAATGTCTGCTTTGAGTAAACAAATGTCTAAAAGTAACTATCATGAACAAAATATATAGTGGTAAGCTTCCCTCCTAACGATAGATTATCCAATTATAAATGGCATAGACGTCAGCTCAAATTACAGAAACACTCTACAGTGAATCCACCACCACCTTAGAGAAAACTAAAATTTATTTTTTGCTGCAATTTTCAAATACCAACAATCTCGAGGATTGTGAACTTCCATTTGCAAATGTTAAAAGTCTTCATACTAATAAAAAAAAACCCACATTCAAATAAACATACTTAGTGAAAATCAATGACGGGCAAAGTGCTTTTCAAATAACTGAGAAGCAGTGTTGGAAAAACAGAGTCTCAGACAGCGAATGGTACTGTCAGTCCAGAGTTGGGAAACTTACCCACAGCAGCTGAACAGCATTTTTCCTAAGAGTCAGTACAATCTGTTATGCACCCCGCCCACTGTTTTTAAGCCCAGACACAGACAACAGCAGGGACAGACGTTGAAATTACGCTCCACTTAAACAGCATGCGTAGTTTGAAACATCTCAGCAGC